CTCCCCTCCATCTGTTCCCTCCCCAACCCCGTCCCCACTCGTGCGCCTCCCGTCTCGCTCCCTTCCTTCCCCTCCCTTCCTTCCCTTCCCTCTTCCCTTCCCAACCCCGTCCACCTTCACCTCCATCTTCCGTCCCCGACAACGTAAGCTTTTCCTCGCTCTCCCCCGGCACTAGCGACTAAGCGAGAACCCAAGCATCGGAGATGCTTTTGGGAATAAACACAAAAACAGAAAACAGTACCAAACCACAGATACAAAAAGCAAAAACAAATAGATAGATAGCAACACAAGGATAAAATCAAAGTAGGTGGTGATTCATCAAACATTTATACTATATATTACATACACATGGCTGGGTGCTTGTGTTAATTGTGTTGTATGTTTGTTTGTTTATTTTTTGTTTGTTGTCTGTTGTGTTTACACATTTTGTGATTGTTTTTTTGTGCTGTTCGTGTTTTGTGTGTTGTTTTTGTTAATTATTATCTTTTTCAGGATCATCAGTTATTGATTATTTATTTTTCATAACAGTAGATAGATCTGCCAGCCCTGCAACCTTTCAACCAGTATCTTGAGAACCGTGATCAACATCATCGTCGTGGTTTGGTGCCTTTTCGTCTTGATCGGATCTTCTGGTACACCACGTTTCTGCCAGTGTGCCACCAGTGAGTCCTAAGAAAGCCAACAGCAACGGCGAGGCGGAGACCGGTCTGTCTGCTTCTGAAGGCGTTCATGGTGCAGGTACAACATGGTCTAAGCAGAGTTTCATGTCTTGGGAAACCAGAACGCCAGTCGTGAAGGTGTGCCTTTAAGATATCCAAAACAAACCAAAAGGCACGATGCTGCAAGAATGGTTTCCTAGCTTTAATATTCTTGGCTACCTGGCTAAGCCTCTCCGAACATTCCCATATAAGGGCTCTCAAACTGCAACCTGTGCAAAAAACATGGACTTCTCCGCTACGCTAACTGGCTACATAAGAGTTTTTGCCATCAGCTTTTGCTCACCAAGATTCACATCACTCGAACGAATGAAATCCAATTTCCCATCACTGGCCCTCATCCGGCGGTACCTGCGTAGGTTCTCACATGGCATGGCAATCAACATCGTGAGTGCAAAAAAGAAGAGATGAGGAGAAACTCGAGTCTCTTAGCGTTCAACCTCCACTACGAGCGTTGAGGGAAAAATCCGAAGGGTCATGCGGCGCTGGGAGACCCGAGATGACGGCTATCACTGAGAGAATCCAGGTATCACGGAGAGAATTTCGAAGGTATCATTTAGTTCTTGGATGTTGGTGGTGTTTCCTTTTTGAGTGGAGATTTGCGGCAGTTGAGAGTTGAGGCTCCTCTTGGGACCGATTAGAGCCTCTTAGAGTCAAAGCTAAGCAAAGCGTGCGATTGGGGACTAGCGTAGCATTGGGTATAGCATGTTCGACCCAGGGAATGCAATCATGTTTTCTTTATATCAGCCTTTCTCTTGTAGAACTACAGTTTGTCAGTTTGATCAATACCAGCCAATAAAGAAGCTGCAGGAGCGTCCATCCACATTGGCAGCCAAGCAGGAGCACTGGAGCCAGTCGCAGTGTTCTTTCAGGTGCCCAGCGCACTGGGCAAGGCGATCTGGTCCTTAGCGGAAAGCACCTGTCGATCCCCGCACCTCTGCTGACTGAAAGCAAGAGTTTTTGCTGTCCTTGTAGTGATCTCTTTTTCTGACTTTTGGAGTCTTCAATTCTTTCATGACGACTTGACTTGCTTGGAAGCTATGCGTGCGGCAACTTGTGAAAACAGGTCGGTTTTGATTGGTCTGTGCACTTAACCTATTTAGTATACACTCTTTAATTTGTGTACACTATACATGCACAACTACACATCGCCCGCCTCACACACCACTCTTGCTGGTTGACTCGATCACCGAGCTCTGGACTTCTGTCCAAGTTGATGAGTACAGCCTGTCCGTGCGAGCGCGCACCGCCCAGTGTTCTTTTTTAGCACACAAACTGTTCAAAGACACACGACATCTGTGCAAAGAACTGATGCTGTCACCTGAATGCTTTCCAGACCGGGCTTCACGGCGATGGTAACAGCTTCCACCTGCAGTGGACGCTGTTGTCTCTGGGGCGTCGCATGCTAGAAGAACCTCTGTGCATAGCAACTTCCACGGATTATGTTCTCTTGTAGCAAACTTTGCGCCAAGATGCTGTGGTCTTCAATTCTCCTGCCAGTGAAGCTTTGACACAAAAAACATCAAAAAGACCTCAAAGTACCTCGGATGTATCGTGATTCTCATCCTTTCCCCCCAAGGATTTCAAACCTGTGCCAGCTGCAACACACAACACCGTGACCTCCTCAGCGTGACTTCCTCCGATTCTTTCCTCGCTCTCCGATGTCGAACTTGGCCAGTCCTCTGGTAAAGCCATTTTCTCGCAGCTCACAGGGCTGACCAATAAGGTCTCGCTTGATCCCGCGTTTCTCGCGTGGGCTTCGATATCCAGAGCCTCGGAAGGTTCTGTGTCTCCAACGGCCAAGATCAAGCTTTGGGTCTCAGAAACCTCTTCTAACTTAAAAAGGGCTGGCTGTTGGCTGCAAGCTTTCAAATTATGCTGAAAGACCCAGTCCTATCTTTTTGCTCCAAGGAACCACAGGAACACAAAGACTTCTTGTACACCGATAATCATGAATACAACCACCACAAAGCACACAAAGTTGAGGGATTCTTAAGTGAACCAAATACTGTAGCTCACTATTGCTACCAAACATGTTACGCACTACATTCTTGACGAACCTCTTTACATTACAACAACCTACCTTTAATAAAAGAATCTAAGAATCTCACATTCCTGAAAAAAGACACGGATGAACGTGAAGCAAAGCTGCTTAGACTAATCGGGTCTCGTTTCTTGTCCAGGAGTACGCCTGAGTCCGCTTACGCGTTTTTGGGACACCGACGAGTGCCTCGTGTCTGGGGCCCCCAAACCACCCGCCACTGCCTCCGGTGAGGAGGGCGTAGAGGCCCGGGTCCGGCGGCGGCGCGTCTGGCGATGCCCGGTGCGTCTGGGATTTTGGGGTCTAACTTTGAACGAGTGTTCGTTGGATGAGCTTTTTGATTATCTTTCTTGAAGTGGTTAGGTTCCTAGGGGGGGATGTCCAAGAGTCAAAAAAAAAAACAAGATCGTTCCAAGGCATTGTTAGATTTAGGGGATTCGCTTTTGGTGTATTCATGTACCGTTGGGCCATTCATCTCTGCAAAGTCCTTGAAGCCTGTAGGCTCCTGTTGGTGTGGTCCGAGTTGATCAAATCCCCAAGCTGGCCCAGCCCCAGTCTTCAGGGAAGAATCTAGAGTTGAGTTTTCTTGATCTTTCTATGTTCACTCTATGAAATGGAGTCTTGGGGTATGGCGGGTATAGCAATCTTGGAGCCATGTCCACTCATCTGCTGGCGTGTCTAGTGTGTTTCTAGTACTGCAATTGTCCGTGTTCAGGCAAAGGTATCAAACCACAAAACAAAACAACGAGCACCGTGAAGGGCAATGACAATTTGGGACCTCAGTCAATTCTACTTATTGTGCGTCAAAAGATGTCAGCAATAGGATTAATATGGATTAATGATACTCGCTTGTGCTCCAAATAGGCCATGGCTCCAGCCCCTCAGGATGATTTCAATGGTTTGTCTGCAAAAATGGTTGCGAATCAACACGGTACTTCCACTGCTACAAGTAGCAACCCCACTGCAACATTTGGGCTCGCACTGGCCTTCTGCGTCTTGCGGACTGCCTTGTTGCAATAGCAATGACCTGTTGGACAAAATGTAATTCATAACAACGATGCCAGAGTTGGAGTGCTCAAGGCTGGAATTTTGCTCTTGGCTTCGAATGCCAAATCACAGCCAGCCACTCCGTCGAAAAATACTCCACAGGATTGGTGGAACATCCAGCAATATCCAGCATTAGTTTGTAAAGGACTTCTTGGTTCAACCCAAAAAACTGCCTCTAGCGCTCGTGTAACACCTTTTTGAGCTTCAGGTTGTCGTGCTTCCGCCTTCTCTTTCAGGCGAACACACACAAGCTGAGACCATGCTATTTACATCTGTTTTCGCTTTCTTCTGCAGCAAAATAAGATTCGAGACTCCACACTTCCGGCGGGATCGTTCGCCTCTGTAGCAGTTCGATCGCTTCGGGGCGCCTTCTTGGCATCCAAGGCGAACTTGGGACCCACGCGCTTCGCTTTGCGCTTCAATTCCTCAGTCTCAATCTCCAAGAGCATCGCCCGAGCTGCAGGGTTCCCCGGATCCACTTTCAAAAAGTCCTCCAAGGCGTCTTTCGCTTCACCCGGGCAGCGCAAGGCCCACAGGGTCTTGGCTTTTCGCCATAAGGCCTTCATATTTTTGGGATCCAAGTCTAAGGCAGCCTGACAATGGGAGAGAGCACTCTCATGTTGCCGGAGCTTGATCAAGGCTTGAGCAATGTTGAGTCTTAGGACCAGCTCCAACGCGTTCACTGATTGCACTGGTTGGCTGCCCTGAAGGAGCTGCAGCGCCTTTTGATCGCTTTCGGACACCGCCCGAGCGCTCAAATTCCTCAAGCGATGCAGGGCCAGGATACCCTGACCCCAGGAATCAACGGCGTCCTGCGCTGCCACGAATTTTGTTCCATCCTGGAATGCATCGAGGCCTTTTTGACGGCACTCTGCAGCAACTCTGTATGCAGCTTGAAGATCAGTTTCACCTTCCTGAGTCAAGCAGCGATAAAGAGAGCTTTACAGATCGACATCTGAAATATAGAGTGGCCCACTCGGCCTTTTTGTCTGTTGTGCTGTCTGTACAGGAACATGTAATTCATTTGGATTAATTAAATTAGGCGTTATGATGTCCGCCCTTGTCTTGCCCAGCGGCTTGCAGCTCAATCTGGGGAAACTTTGTGGAATGCTTTTCTCGAAATTCATACCCTCCAGATGGGCAAGGCTTCAGCCCAACATACCTTAGCTCAAGAACTGTCTGGAACTACCAAAAGGATCCAAAAGGCATTCACAGGAATGATTGTCATCCCGTTTTCTAGGCTGAAAGAAACACACCCAATCCAACACACATGTTCTTTTCGACTCGGAGCAAAACACATCTATCTTCAGTGTGCCTCAAACTTAGGAAACTTCAAAGGAACTGTGCCACACATATAATGTGTATATAATATATAGAGATAGTATACATAGTATATATATATATATACATTCATTCTTCCTTCGTCTGCTATAGGTGGACCCCAAACACCCCCGAACGACCACCACGGCGAACCCGTGTTTCCCGAACGGAGCCGAGCCGCGGATTGGACAGAGGCTTGGCAGCCAAGCGCCGCAGCTCGGCCAGAGCACCTGACCGTTTGGGCAGCTTGGCGCTGGCAGCTTAGAGGCTTAGTGGCATCTGTCGTGCTTAGGTGACTGCCAAATGGAATCCAGTTTGCGTCGCATTTTCCAGCTATGAAGCTTTATACGTGTTCATAATTTCTTCTGAAGTGTATGTGTGTTCCCTCCATCCTGTCCATGTGTTAGACTTCCTTTTGACTTCCCACACTGCCTTCCTCAGCTGAGCCCGCATCCTCTGCGTCTGGATGCTCAACTGTACTACCTGACAGCTTCAAGCGCGTCTCATGGGCATGAGAAATCTGTGATAATCTATGAATTTGAGCTGCTATCGTGGTTGAATCAACTCGCTCTCTGTAATCGAAATACTTCTCTTCCAGCCTCACATCGCATCATATCCAAACAATATCCTATATAATGATATGTAATGATATGCGGTTCTCCCCTCCAAGGTCAATCCATTGCTCCGCCCAGTCTGGAACATTGCTCCGCCTGAAGGCTCTTCTTGGCAAACTGGAGCTGAGCCTGGAGGAGTCGGAAAAAGGGAGATGTGCAAAACGACATGCTTCAGAGATTGTGCAAGTCTGATATAGTCCGAGTCTATTGTCCCAGAGTGTTCCTACAGATTCACAGGATTGAAGTTCCCCAGTTCCAAATATAATAGGATGATAGGATCTTTCACCATGTTTGACCTGCACCGAGCGTCTTTTTCCGGCGTGCAGGTCATCTTGTTGAAGCCCGCGGGGTCGGCCGGGACGAGCGAGACGTGAAGCTGTGTAGATCTGGGAAGCTATGGCCCGCAGCTGGGACGGCAGGCTCAGGCTTCAAGGAAGCTCCCCCCCCCACGGTGCCAGCTCCAGGGAAGCTTCTTTGAAGGATAAAGAAGGAAGAAACCCTCGCATTCATCTGGTGCCTGGATGTTTGGGGGGAACCGGGAACTGGACAACGATGAATGTTCCCTCCCGCCTAAGTCTTCTCGATTGCAGAGTTCCTGCACCTGCAAGGATGCTGGAACATCAAAATATTGCAAGCTTGAAAAGCAGCTGCTGACAAGACCTGGAAAATGAACCATCTTCGACCTACAGAGCTTACTCTGCAACTCGTCTCCGTGATTGATGACCACTTCCGTCAATGTAGAAGTTCCCAAGCAGAACGAAGCGATTCCGACTAACCTTCAATCAGGTTTCGCAAACTTCTACTGATCCAACGTTTGATCCCATCTGATGCCATGAAGAACAGAGACATGAGCAGTGAACAACGAGCGGCCTCTTCTGCAATCAGGCTTCCCCAGTCATTCGCCGCCATGGCCACCCGTGAAGCAATCGTCCGATGAGTCTAGCAAAGAAACATGGTCCAAGAAATAATGGGTAGGCAGAAAAATAATGAACCAACCGACTTAGCTGGAGAAGCTCAAACTGCTTGCGACTGCCATTTCAGTCTACTCCTCAATTCTGGAAGGCACACCTGCTGCCTCTATATTGTCAATCACAGAATCATGAGCGGCTTGAGCCCAGCGGATCAGCGCAAGTGTCAACCACTGTGAGTGTCTTCACTATCTGAAGCTCTCTGGAGAAACGGCAGAGCTCCCCAAATTACATCGTCCTCAACTCGGACGAACGTGTCGCACCCTACAGGTCGAAATATACGGTCAAGCAGAAAGCGAGACTTCGCCAGAACAGGCTTCAGGTGCATACAAAGCTTAATTTCTTTACAGTGCACACAGAAGGAATCGGCCGGCACTAGTTACCACCCTTCCTCCAACAAGCATGGAAGTGGACAAATGCTCAGTTCGAGATCAAAAGCTCGGATAGCGAAAACTACGCCAAATGCGCATAAGACTGAGGATTCCTCCTCTTTGCCTAGGAAAAATAACATACTTGAATCTCGTTCCGCCCTCCGCTCAGGCCGACCTCTCCGTGAACTCGCCATGAGGCCGACCTGCGCCGTCCGCGGTGGTCGGAACTCGGACAACGTATTCAACATCACCAAGTTAGTCATTGGATTCACCATGCCATGCGAAAGGTGTATGTATATATATAACGTGCTAACATGTATACAGTCTTACAACATCTTACCACCTCTCGCGCCAGAATGTTGCAGTGAAACGCGTCTGGCTTATGCATGACACACTGGTCAAAACATAACACACACATGCCATGTACCTTCACACGGCCTAAAAGTCGCACACAGGAATCTCCCAAGGTGCGTCCTGCACCTCTCGCAAGTAGCTGTGCAACATAATTACTATGCTGTAAGTATGTGTGCGTGTCCAAGTTGAAGGATTCGTAGATTGTAGATTATGGAAGATGCAGGTTCCTTCCTGTCATGGACGCCAACAGGATCTGATGCCACTTGTGCATTGATTCCTTGGCCAGGCTGGACAAACATATTGAACAACACACGGACGGGTCCAAACACGCTAAAGAAGAGATGCATGTGGCCTCACATCCTTGGATCGGATAATCCCACCATCCATTGCCATGCCATGTCCACCAAATACCCTCCACTCAAATGGCCCATGTCCATCATCTTTGAAGAAATGGTCGGAATGGTGCTGTTTTACTACCCCATGTGATATCAACTGCTGTGCCCTCCCGATCCAAACCTCCACCGGCCCGACACCCGACACCCCGGCGTCCCCCGTCCCCCAGGGAGCCTCGGGCTGCGAGGCGATGCGCAGAGCCGGGATGCGACGATCGGAGTGCTTTGGAGCCGGACGCGGGTCGCCAGGGATCGGGTCGAACTCGGACGGTCTGGTGGCAGCGCTAAAACTGGTACCACCAGTTAACCACATTGATGTTGCCCAAACGCCGAGTGCTGACGTGTGCTGACTGGAGTGGAAGTGAAGAGTGTGAGGCTTCAGAAGGAACAACTCCCAACACGTAGACTTGAAACCTCGGGGTTGGAATACCACAGGTTGCTCGTCATGAAAACGTGTGAAAGCATGTAATACATGGCTGACAACACTAAATTGACACCCAAATGATCACAGACCTACTCAACAAAACATAATTTAATAGATCAATGCCCAAATCATGACCAGCCTTTCGTCAAGCGTGCCAAGCCCAAACCCTGCCTTCACCGAAGTGATGCCATCTGCACAATCAACGGGCATTCGATTTATGAAGATGTGTTCAGCATGCAAGGTTGCTTTCTCAGCTCTAGGCGACATAGATCACTGTTAACCAAACACAAAGCTCCTGAATAATCTTAATCAATCATAAATCATAAATGAAGTTGGTGAAGGTGTTGATCCCAAAGCTTCTTTTCCTTTTGCTTTTCAGTCTCTAGGGGCCTATAACAATATATAAATGAAGTGGGGCATCTTCGGCATCTTCTAGGAATCTGTCACATCAGTCGAAGCAACAAATGTCCACCCAAAGAGGTGTCAATAGATTGAATCTACCTACTGTAAATCGTTGGCAAAATTAAGCAAAATAAATCTGAAACATATTACAAACATCATACGGAACACCCTGGAAGTCGCAAGAATACCGATTTGCTGGGTGTTCTTCCTCTTTTCTGTTTGTTCTTCGCCACCCCCAAAGGCAGCTTCGCCTCGAGGTCGGTGACTTGGCTGAGGCAAGGCCACGATCCACAGGGAACCAACACTGGAGTTGGCCTTGGAAGTGTCATGAAAAGCTGGTCGAAGAAGCTGCTTTGGTGAAAAGGCTGATCGAAGTCTTGGAGTGGAATGATGGAATGAATTGGGGGCGACCCTCCGCAGCCATACTACAAGCAAGACCACGAAAAGATAGAAATTGGCAAAGCTCCAGTGAATGAAGATGCCATTGGCATGCTCCAGTGGTGGCATGAGAAAATGATCTCTGCGGTTCTTTCGTGGCAAACTCTGGCTGGGCGCCACTTGGAGCATCTAGTTTTCCCGAAGTTGCCCAACAGGACACGCTCCAATGACCAGCCAAACGTCCCAGCGTCACTTTCCTCCGGCCTCCGCTTGAGGAGACATGGTGCTCAAGACCAAGGCATGACTCCCCGGTCGAACCTCGCAATAGCAGCATGTGGCCAAACAATAGACATCTTTCAACAAAGGTACTTTCAGTGTCTGTTTCGCCAAAAATCCTGAGACTTGCCATGATTACCACCCAGATCCACCCAGTCTCAAACAAACAAGTGCTGCTCCGTTCCATTCTCGTGTTGCGACGCTGCTGCGGTTGTGATTCCTTCTGGTCATGGCCAGGAGCCACGGTCACCTGGCGAGCCCACCTCAGGTGTCATGGCCAGCGCCGTGCAGGTGGCTCCTCGGCCGCGGGGCGCCCAATGATAGCCCGGCGCAGTGGCCTCGGAGGGGCGGGGAGCTGAAGAGAATCGATGAAGGGGGGATGTTCAAACAAACAGAAGAATCGGTAAACAAACATGTAAACAAGCAGGCAACATCTGTTTCCTTTTTTTTTGGGGGGGGCAAGTAGCAACATCATGCAAAGCATGCACAGGTTACAGGAGAAACTCATTACAACATTGACGGAAGCTTAAAAACCAAGACTTTGCGTCGGTCAGCCCATTTCAAGAAACACCATGCCCGGAGAAGCAAAGGGCACGATTGGGTCTCATAGCACCATGCGATCTGCTTGCCACAGCCCGCGTTTCACTCTCACTGCTCTCAACATCAAATGACTATAACGATTGGGGTGAGGCCCAAAGCATGTTGCAGCTACGAGTCCAAGATGTCTAGGTAAGCAAGCAATATCCAAAATCTTCAGGGATATCTTTGCCAAGGCTGGGATTGCTTTCTCTCCATTTACCCATGCATTACTAGGTCAACTCCCGCGCAAGAAAATGCCATGGGCCGCCTCTTCAGCAAAGGTCGTCCGCCTTCTCCAATACTCCAAGACTCTGACGGCTGCCGCCAAGTCCAAGCCCTCCCCTGGGAACTGCCACACCTCGGAAAAGAAGCTGCTATTATATATATATATTATATATATATATTTATAATATCTGTTTCACTTTTTACTGATACTTATGTTGTTATTTTGGATATTGTTGAATATATATATATATACATACAGTATATACATGACTTCCCTATGAACATCATGCATACAAATACATTCATGAATGAACAAAACAATTGATCCCCGAATCCGAAAGGAGACAGGATTGGTGAGTAATCCGGCCAGATTCGTCAGTCTCCCCTCAGCGTTCTTATTTAGCGATTCTGATATTATCTGTTTCTAGATTCCATTGCTCTCCTCATGTGTAATTGCTGACCCTCCCGTGCATATCTTCTCCGCCAAATGCCTGACGGCCCGAAATCCACACCGGCAAGCCGTCCTCCACATCTCCATCTTCTCTTGCACAGGCCAAAAGCCTTTTCGCGGCGCGAAAACCATGAAAAGCTCTTCAAGCCACACAATGGCACCCCTCCCTTCCAATTTCGTGGTAATAAAACACAACATGTGACAAGCTGCCAAAATACGGCTGTCCCCTAATGAATTCATGAAGAATATTACTTTCGTCTTTCTGTAACTAGACTAGACTCCGTTTGGAGTCACCTCGGTCACTGATGAGAACAGCAACATGCACAGCGGGAAGACCGGGGTACTGGCTGTGGATATGCATAGCTCCACTGCAAGCTGGCTATGGTTGAGGAAGATGGTGACTTCACCACCCTTGGCATGGCCTGAGAAATCTGGCAGAGTAGCAGTCTGAAAAGAACAGACTGGGTGCCACAGCATGAGTCAAGTACTGCCATTCACGAATGCAAGTTGTGTCAACTCCGACACAAACTCGTGCCTTCGTTCTATGAGAGCCACTGTACAGCGCAAGGCTTCCACCCTGGCGAAAGCGGAATCACCAAGAGGATTTGTATTGCAAGTCTCCATCACCATCATCATCGTCATCATCGTGAAAAACAATCTAGACCGATGTTAGACCCATGTGTGGTCAAAACAGGTCGAACTGCACAGACCTGTCCCGCGACCATCTGTCAGGACATTTTGTTTATGGATTT